CCCGCAAGGTCAGGGAGCTGCCCCCAGGTCATCTGGGCTGTTGATGATGGAGGTGGCAGATGGAGGTAGGAGAGGAGGCCAGAGAGGAGCCGTGTGCTCCTGATCCCTGGCCCAGCACTCTCCTTCCCTGGCCCCCACTTGGCATCTGCCCCACCCGGGGCCTGGACTCCCACTCACGCACTGGAAACTCCCTGTCTCGGGGCCACACACACCATGCCTGGCAGGCGCTGGAGATGCAGCAGAGCAGACGCGGCCACAGGAGTAGCTGTGTTTCCTACAGTGGAGAAGGGGACCCTGGTAGGAGCACTGCCCAGCCAGGCACGTGGTGCTCAACCCTATGGGCACTGACCCCACGAAAGGCCGGGGTTTGTGCTGCGGGAGGCCTCTGTTTGGCGAGAGCTCTGTCCCGGCTCCAGTGCGGCGGCCCTCCCCCGGCCTGCTGGAATGGGACCTCATCCCTGCTCCAGCGTCATGGACTTTTCCGGCCTTGGGCCCTCAGCGATTCAGGCGGGGCCGTTTTGCTAACACCCGTGTGTATGTGGGGGTGTGGGGGGTGTGTGTGTGTGTGTGTGTGCACGCGCCTGTGTGTGCATGCGTGCAGGCATGTGAGCCTCTGTGTGCCCACGTGCCTGCATGTGTGTGCACGTGTGTGCAGTGTTTCTGCCCCAAGGCTGGACCCCAAGGCCCGTCTTGGGTGCAGGGTGTTTTCTGTAGGGGAAACTGAGGCATGGGAGGCTCAGCCCCATGCCTGGGAGGGTGACTGCCAGCCAGTTGGCCTCAGAGCTCCCACTCCTGGGCACAATGGGCACCTGGCCCTGGGGCCTGCGCTTCTTAGCTACACACAGACCATAGCCCTGGATCCCAGGCCAGGGGTGTCCTCTCAGCCCTGCCTCCCTGGAGTGCACGTCCCCAGGCCAACCTTCTGGTCTCCTTTCTTCCTCTCAACTTTACCCTCTCTCTCTCCTTTCCTCTCTCTGCCCCCCTCCTGGCAAGCGGATTGCAATCCAAACTTGTTGTTAACTTCTCCCCTGCAGTTGTCCACGGGCCCTTCCAAGTTAAACATTACTCACGGCGACAAGAGCCCGCCGGGCAGTGCCTGGCCTGGAGGTGGACCCGCGTGCAGAAGGTGCTGGGACGGGGTGAGTGCCAGGCCCCTCCCTGCAGCATCTGTGGGGCAGCTGCTGGTGCAGGTGGCCCCAGCACCCTGAGCCCATACCTGGGTCCCTGCAGCCTCTTGCCTCGCCCTTTGAAGTCATGAATGTGCCTGTTTATGTAACCCCCATGCTCGGCCAGAGCGGGTAGGCCTGTGGGCAGCAGGTCCCTGGGCAGGCTTGGGAGGGGCCAGCCAGGGGCCCCAGAGGGGTTTGGGCTGGGCCAGGCGAGAGCCCTCCCCTCGGCCGGTCACTCCAGCTCTGTGCCAGGCTAGGGGTGGGACTGGAAACAAAATGCTCAGAAAAAAATTAGCCTCATCTGTTTTGAATCGATTCCGCTGATCGGGCCCTCAGTTTTCCCAGCAGGGAAGTGGAGGGATAGGTAGTCATGGGCTCAAGCACCTCAGGGAGCCCCCACAGCCGGGGGAGGCACGAAGCCCAGACCCCACTCACCACACCCAGCAGCTGCTCCACCCTTGTCTGCCAAGAGCCTCCCAGGTTAGGAGCAGAGCCCCCCAGGCTGGGTCCCCCAGGGGAGCAAAGTTGGATGTCAACAGCAAATAGGCACGGTGTGCTCTGCCCACCCTCTGCCACCCCACCCCTCGCGTCCTCTCTTACCACTCCCTCCTCCACCTGCTGCACGCATCCTGCAGGGACCCAAGCACCGTCCTGCCCCCAGGCCTTTGCGCTGCTGGCCCCGGCCCCGAAAGCTCATCCCTCACCCATTTTAGGGCTGCTGAGATGGACCTCATAGGAAGCCCCCCTCCAACTCAGCACCTCTCCACTTACCCTGGTCTATTCCTTTTAAGAACATGGACCCCCGTCCAACAGAGAACATTTGGAGACTTAATTTTTTTATGCTCTCCTAGGGAAGCTGCCAGCTCTGTAGAACAGGAACTCTTTCCCGTGTGTCTGTGCTTGCTGTAGGGAGGCATGTAGTCTACTCCACAGAAGAAACCAGTTCCACGCTCACCCACCCAGCGCCCTCAGGGCCCAGCCCCCTGGCCTGCACCCGGACCCTGTCGGGCAGGACACATCTGGCTGACTAGAGCTCAGGCCAGGGGCCTCCTGTGGGACTCAGCGGGGACAGCTGGAGCCTGAGCCAACAGGGGGAGGGCAGCAGGCCGAGGCGCACAAAGTTCAGGGGGGCTGCTTGGTGCTGGTGGCGTTCGGCCACCCCGCTTCGTGCAGGGCTGTGGGCCACTCGTCCAGGAACTCCACACCCTCCATGTGAAGCCGCTCTCCTGTCCTGCTCACACCCCCAGGACCCTTCAGGCTCCCAGCCTCCCAGCCTCCCTCCTGCCTCTGTCCAGACAGAGATTGTTGGAGGAGGTGCTTCAGTGAACGCACAACGTCCACATCCCTGCTGCAGCCAGGTTCCATCCAGGGAGCACAGAACCCATCCTGGGCACCCAAACGCTCATGGGGCCTCTGTGCCACTGGGCCCTCCCTTGAGAGGCCTCTTCCCAGCACCTCACCCTGGAATGCAGCCTTAGGGTGGGGGGTCCTCGTGGGGGCTGGGGGAAAGGCCCTGCCTAGTGCCCTGGGGCTGTGTTCTCCAGGCACCTTGTCTGTGCACCACAGGGTCTTGAGGGGCTCTGGAGACGGGCGGCTCACCTGCCTGCCTCGTGCCCAGACCTGCGAGTGTGCCTGCCGGTGTCAGACAGAGGCGAGTTGGGACTTCATCCCTGAAATCAAGCAGGAGGGTAGGAATGTGAGCCTCGAAACCACCTTGTTTCTGTATCGTTTCTGGGAGCAGTGATGTTGGCCATTGGGACACCTGCTGAGGGTCCTCTTTTCCCATCCGGGTGCTGGTGGGACAGAGGGAGGCTGTGACCTTCACCCAGCCTGTGCCGAGAGCTCCAGCCCCCCACAGCTTCCACAGCCCTGCCTGCCACCTCCCCCACACCAGACCCTGCCCTCCTGCCCTCCATGCCTCCTTTGGGGAGGAGGCCGGGGGTGGGTGGAGCTGATTTAGTCACAGGCCCTGCTTAGGCAGTGAGACCCCAGCACCCCCCCAGGTAAGGGTGCCTCGGGGGCCGGGTGGGGGTGGCTCCTCGGGGCTCCTCCTGGCCCTCTGGGGGCTGCGAAACTTTCGAGGCTGCACTTGTCCTTTTTGCAAGGCACTGCCAAGACGTGTGGCATTTCTGTGGTCTCTGCAAGCACAGCGAAGCACACACGTGCTCCAGGGCTGGGGCTCTTCTCCTGGAGGGTGACCCTGGGAAAGGGTAGCCTTGCCCACCCAACCTTGGTCACCAGTGGCCATCCAACCCCGGGTGTCCCCATCCTCGGTTTGGGCTGAGGGCAGACTGCAGGCTGGCGTTGCAGAGGCAGCTGGGTAAAGTGTGGTCCCAGACAGGGACACAAGCTGGCAGTTACTGTGGGGGACCTGGGCCTGGGCTTAGGGACTGCTGCCCCTATCCAGACGCCTGATTGGGACCAGGGTGTGGGGCTGGGCCCTGCAGCGCCTGTCTTGCCTGGGCTGGAGCCCTGGAGCTGTGCGACCTGGGGCCAGGGTGTTCTGACAGCCTCACTCTCAGGGGCTGGATGCCCTTCGGCACTACAGTGGGTGCCTAGCAGACCGTGCTATAGACCATACCCTGCTCTGGGCGTCTGTGGACTCCCTGGGCCCCTGCCACCATGGTCACTGCCTCTCTTGGGAGCAAGTTTTTCTTTTCTTTTGTTTTCTTTTGTTTTTTTTTTTTTTTTTTGAGATGGAGTTTTACTCTTGTTGCCCAGGTTGGAGTGCAGTGGCACGATCTCAGCTCACTGCAAGCTCCGCCTCCCAGGTTCAAGTGATTCTCCACCTCAGCCTCCTAAGTAGCTGAGGTTACAGGTACCTGGCTAATTTTTTATATTTTTATTAGAGATGGGGTTTCATCATGTTGGCCACGCTGGTCTCAAACTCCTGACCTCGGGTGATCCACCCGCCTCGGCCTTCCAAAGTGCAGGGATTATAGGCGTGAGCCACTGCGCCTGGCCGAGACCAAGCTGCTGCTGCTACTTTTTTGTTTGAGACGGAATCTTGCTTTGTCGCCCAGGCTGGAGTGCAGTGGTGTGATCTCAGCTCACTGCAAGCTCCGCCTCCTGGGTTCACGTCATTCTCCTGCCTCAGCCTCCCAAGTAGCTGGGACTACAGGCGCCCACCACCATGCCCAGCTAATTTGTTTTTTTGTATTTTTAGTAGCGACAGGGTTTCACTGTGTTAGCCAGGATGGTCTCGATCTCCTGACCTCATGATCCGCCCGCCTGGGCCTCCCAAAGTGCTGGGATTACAGGAGTGAGCCACGGTGCCAAGAGCAAGCTTCTGATGCTGGGGCCGCAAGGAGCTTCCCAGGCCAGGCAGGTTGCTGTCTCAGCGGCAGCCTGCAGCCTCCTCCCAGGATCTGGAGCAGGAGGGTGGCTGTCTTTTGCATTCAATCCGTTGGGCTGCTGCAGGGCTCCCGCAGAGCTGCTCCAAGGGGCCAAGAGAAGGAAGGACGCTGCCCCCAAGGACAGACGGGCAAGCTGGAGTCAGGAGAGGCCCAGCCGTGGCCCGCAGGCCTTGAGTCGCTGATTGGGGGAGCGTGAGGCAGGTATGGGAGGGGGCCAGGGAAGCCCTGCAGCCCCCCACCCCCACCCCCGGCCCCAGGCAGCAGTGCCTCCGAGGCCTGGGCGGCAGGAAAGGGAGAGATGACGTCATTGCCGCCTGGAATCTGCTGTTTGGAGGCGTCGCCATGGAGACCGGAAGGCTCAGGGTGGGTAAAAATAGCAAACCCAAGAGGGTGTAAGTTCCAAGAACCCGAGTCTCTGAAAAGCGAGGCATACATGTTCTCGTTGCCTGGAGGACAGAGGGCCCAGGCTGGGAGTCTAGCGGGAGGGGCCGCTCGGGGCTGCTGGCTTGCAGCCACCCGCACGCGGTGTGTCCCCGCCACAGCCACCGAGAGCTTTGTCCCCGCGCAGGGTGTGGCGGGGGTGGCAGGCTCCCAGCAGGAGGCATCTGCAAGCACGCTCCCTTCCTCTGCTTGGGCACCGCAGCCTGAGCCGAGGGCCGCTCTGCAGGGACTTTTCTTTCCTCGCAGAGGGGAAGCAGCCGTGGCCTGTGAGTCGCTGGGCTTCCCAGGCCTCATCCCGGCCGGAACTCCGTGCCTCCAGGCGGCCCCTGGTGGGGCGGGAGGGGCCGAGCTGGGGTTTTCGCTGCCTGGGCGGAATGCTCTTTTCCTGCCCTGCTTCTGGAGGAGGAAAGGGGCGGCCGCCTGAGGAAAGCCTCCGGCACCCCAACCCCGTTCCTCTAGGGTGGTTTTCTTGCCAGGGAGCAGGATTTTCCTCCAGGCCAGGAGGTGGCTGTCCCGCTCCTTCTGGGCTCGGTCCCCGGAAACGCCAGTACACACTGTCTGCACCTCCCTTCAGCGGTGTCCCAGTGTCCTCATGGGTCCCCCCAAGTCCCAGGCCACAGAATACGGCAGGAGGCCCGAGGGCTCTGGGCTGCTCTCCCCAGATGGCTGAGTCCGTGGAGAACCCCTGCAGCCGTGAGGGGCTCCCTGGCCCGGTGCCACGTCCGAGAAACTCTGCCCTGTCTTTGCTCTCGGCGTGGCTGGGGCCTCCTCTCTCCCAGGCCAGGCTGCACCAGGGCATGGAGGGGACCTTGCCTGGCGGCTTCCTCCAGCCGCACGAGCCTGGGCAGAAGTGTCATTGGGCTCAGGGACCCTCAGATGGCCCAAAATGACCCAGGAGCCCTCAGAAGGCCCAAAATGACCCAGGAGCCCTCAGATGGCCCAAAATGACCCAGGAGCCCTCAGATGGCCCAAAATGACCCAGGAGCCCTCAGATGGCCCAAGAGCACCCTGGGTGGGGAAGGATCCAGGGTGATTCCCAGCCCCGAGAAATGAAGCTCCATTCCGGGAGGGTGACTGTCCCCGGGCAAGGGGTGACCATCCCTGGTTGGGAGGCAACTGCCCACTATAGCAATGAACGTTCTCCTGAGCAGCCTGGGGAGCCCTTTCCTCCCTCCGTGCGGGGGGCTGCTGGGGCTGAGTCTCTGTCCGCTGCTCCCTGGGTGCTAAATCCTGGAACATCTTCAAAGAGTTTCAGTCCCTTCTCTTCTGCACATACCATTGTTCTCAGGGTGGCTGGGCAGCCCCTTCCTCCACCCAGGGCAGGGGAGCACGGGGTCACCTCTCACGCCCAGCCCTCCCTCGGCTCATGGTGGTCTGTGGCTGGAGAGGGCGAGGGGATGTAGAGCCCCGTGTAGGGGTCGCTCATTCCCCCAAGACATAGCTCACATGCCTTATGTAACTCGTGAGCTCACGCAGAGGGCCTGCCAGAAATGACGGCAGGGGCGGGAGGGGCCTGCTCGGGAAGCCAAGTGTGGCTCAGGCTTACGAGGAGCCGGCCGGGCCCTGCCTCAAGGAGAGAGGGGCCCGAGCCTTTGCAACCTGGGGCTCCTACGCTGTGGCAGGGGATGGGCAGGGCCTGGGACGGTTCGAAGGCCGGGGTGGTGCAGTGTATGGCTAGGCCTGGGATGGCTGTGCTGGTCACTTGGCCTGTGGGTAACTGGCCAAGCAGGATGTGGGCCCAGGCCCACCCCACTCCCCCACCAGCAGGCGCCAGCAGGCCCGTGATGTCAGAGGAAGGGCCTAAGTCACGCAAGACCCCCGGGAGCAGCTCTGGGGGCCTCGGAGGGGTGGGTGGGTGGAGGCAGTGCTGTCTCCCCCAGTGCCAGCTGCCCTTCCACCCCCAAACACAGACCAGGGCGGATGCTGCACTGAGGATGGCCCTGAGGCAGGGCTGGACCCAGTGCCCGCGGCTGTCCCTGCCCTTCCTCCCTTCCCTTTTGGAGTCCCGTGCTTCCCCTCTGCCTGCTGCACAGGCCCCCACGCTGTGGCTGGCCCAGCCCAGTTTCACTCCTGGAATGGGACCCCGGGCCCCAAGAAGGGCAAGGGCTTCAGGGAGGCTGTGGCAAGGGCCTCTGGGCAGCACTTGAGGCCTAGGTGACAGCACGGGTCCTCAGGGCAGTGCCCCCAGCCAAGAGCGAGCCATCCCTCCAAACACAGTACCAAGGGGCACCTGGCCTGGGGACCCGTGTCCCGCCAGAGGCAGGGCCTGGCATAGCTGCACCTCACCGGGCCCAGGCCAGCCATTGGCCAGCCTGTTGCTGGGAAGGCAGCCAGCCCCTGATAGGGAAGGGGTAACGGGGAGTCCAACTAGGAGGAAGGGGATGCCGGGACAGGGAGGCCAGCCCTCCGGCCTGAGGAGGGCAGAACACTGGCAGGGGTCCCTGGCAGGGTCTCGGACTGTGCCTTCGAGCCCTTAAGCAGGAGAATGGGATGGGTGGGGGCTCTCTGAGGGGGCCAAGGGCGGTGCTGGGAGCCCAGTGTGGGACAGACCCTGCTCTCAGGAAGGCTGGCCAAGGGGCCGTGGCCCTAGACAGAGGGTGGGGCTGTGTCCTGCTGCTGAGGGGGAGGGGTGAGGATGGGGGCAAGGGGCGTCCATGCAGAGGCAGAGAGCAGGAGGTAAGGGGCTGGGCTCCTGGGATGGCTTGGCCTGAGCCTGGAGGCTGCAGCCCCTCTGAGTAGCGGGAAGGTGGCTGCGGGCAGGTGCCGTGGGTGACTGAAGGGTAGGACCTGTGTGAAGGACCCCTCGCTGCCCTTGGGACCACTGGGCCCCTGAGGTCTGGCTCTCACACATGCCCTGCCCTCACCTGACCTCACGCCCCGATCAGCCACATGCTCCAGCAGGTCCCAGGTTGCCCTGAGCCTCAGCGTGCTCTGGTCTGCATATGGTGGTAATGCCACCTGGCTCAGCATGTCGAGGGAAAACCAGCCCTGGCACCTGGGTCCCACAGTGCCTGTGATGACTCATGAGGTTCTGCCATTGCAACCAGCAGTGCCACGGCTCAGGCCCCTGGAAAGCACTGTGGGGATGGTCCCCCACTTTGGGAAGTGCTGGCTGAAAACTTCTTGTGGGCAAGGACAGCACCCTTCTGTCCCCATTGCATCCCCTGTGCCCACCTCATGGTGCTCAGTGTTGTGTGCCGGGTAAAGGACAGCAGCCAGGGCCTTGGAGGATGCTGGTGATGCCCCGGCCATGGCTGGGTCCCTGGCTCTCGCTCTGTCCCCACTGTTTGACATGTACCTGCTTCAGCTAAGTCAAGAGTGAGCTCTGGCCCTAGGGTCCCAGGCTCAGTGAAGTGCTGAGGGCACTCGGGGAGGTGGCAGTGAATGACTGGGGTGGCATGGCATGGCTGCAGCCCCGGGCAGCCATAACCAGCACAGCGCACAATCCAGGGCAGCACAGGATGCCCCCAGGACAGGGTCCAGTGGGCGAGGGTGGCAGGGCTGGGTGCCCACACTGGCTCTTAAATTCAGCACACGGCCCCCCAGGCTGGGCCTCACCAGTGTCCCCCTGGCTGTCCATAGGCTGTGGACGCGTCCTCAGAGCCAGGCTGCGGGCTGCTGAGGGTGCCTCTGTGGCACAGACCTCTGTGCCCCTCCCTCCCTCAGGCCCATCTTCCTGCTGCTGCGCCCTCAGCCTCCAAGGTCCCTGTGGCCCTGGGCAGGGGCTGCCAGGGGTCTCCTGCAGGAAAAGGAGCCTGAGAGAGCCAGCCTTGTCTCCCTAGCCTGGGACTGGGCCAGGCCCTGTCATACTCTGGGTGTGAGCTCAAGGTGGGGCTGGATGGACAACTGGCTCCTGGGATGGCCCAATGCCTGGCCCAGGCTGTCCAAGCCTGGGCAGCCACATTGCTGCCCTACCTGGCTTCGTCCCTGTGGGGAGTGGGCAGGAGCTGGGCTCTGACTCTGAGTGGGGTGGTCGGCCGGCCACCTGCTCTCACCCTCTGGTTCCCAATGGCCACAATGGCAGGATCATCCGTGGCCCCCCAGGGGCAGGCGCCCTGCTCAGCGCTTCCCATGCATCACCTCGGGTGACCCCAAGAGGCAGGCCCTGGCTCCGGGACCACCACAGGGAGGCTGACACACACCTGAGGCCACCTGGGCCCGGTACAGGTCAGGCAACTGATTTCACAGAAGACCCCACGGCAGGCGAGGGCTCTCCTGGGGAGAAGGGCTCTGAGAGAAACAACAGAAAAGGCAAACAAAACTGAAGGCAGCTTCCTTAGAAAACCAGAGAATGGGTCAGGCGCGGTGGCTCATGCCTGTGATCCCAGGACTTCGGGAGGCCGAGGCGGGTGGATCATGAGGTCAGGGGATCGAGACCATCCTGGCCAACGTGGTGAAACCCCATATCTACTAAACATAAAAAAATTAGCCAGGTGTGGTGGTGGGCACCTGTAGTCCCAGCCACTCAGGAGGCCGAGGCAGGAGAATGGTGTGAACCCGGGGGCAGAGGTTGCAGTGAGCTGAGATTGCAGGACTGCACTCCAGCCTGGGCGACAGAGCGAGACTCTGTCTCAAAAAAAAAAAAAAGCCAGAAACTGCCGGCCAGGTGTGGTGGCTCATGCCTGTAATCCCAGCACTTTGAGAGGCTGAGGCGGGCGGATCACCTGAGGACAAGAGTTCAAGACCAGCCTGGCCAACATGGTGAAACCTTGTCTCTGCTAAAAATACAAAAATTAGCTCTGCGTGGTGGCATGCTCCTGTAATCGCAGCTACTACGGAGGCTTAGGCATGAGAATTGCTTGAACCCTGGAGGTGGAGGTTGCAGTGAGCTGAAATCACGCTGCTGCACTCCAGCCTGGGTGACGGAGAGAGATTCTGTCTCAAAAAAAAAAGAAAGAAAGAAAGAAAGAAAGAAAGAAAGAAAGAAAGAAAGAAAGAGAGAAAGAGAGAGAGAGAGAGAGAGAGAGAAAGAGAGAGAAAGGAAAGAAAGGAAAGAAAGGAAGAAAGAAAGAAAGCAAGCAAGCTAGGCCAGGTGCAAGGGCTCACGCCTGTAATCCCAGCACTTTGGGAGGCCAAGGTGGGCAGATCACCTGAGGTCGGGAGTTCGAGGCCAGCCTGACCAACATGGAGAAACTCTGTCTCTATTAAAAATAAAAAATTAGCCTGGCGTGGTGGCACACGCCTATAATCCCAGCTACTCGGGAGGCTGAGGCAGGAGACTCACTTGAACCCGGGAGGCAGAGGTTGCAGTGAGCTGAGATCACGCCATTGCACTCCAGCCTGGGCAACAAGAGCAAAACTCCGTCTTAAAATAAAGGGGGAGGCCGGGCGTGGTGGCTCAAGCCTGTAATCCCAGCACTTTGGGAGGCCGAGACGGGTGAATCACGAGGTCAGGAGATCAAGACCATCCTGGCTAACACAGTGAAACCCCATCTCTACTAAAAAATACAAAAAACTAGCTGGGCAAGGTGGCGGGCGCCTGTAGTCCTAGCTACTGGGGAGGCTGAGGCAGGAGAATGGCGTGAACCTGGGAGGCAGAGCTTGCAGTGAGCTGAGATCCGGCCACTGCATTCCAGCCTGGGTGACAGAGCAAGACTCCGTCTCAAAAAAATAAAATAAAATAAAATAAAATAAAATAAAAGGGGGGCCAGGCGCGGTGGCTCACGCCTGTAATCCCAGCACTTTGGGAGGCCGAGGTGGGCGGATCACGAGGTCAGGAGATCAAGACCATTCTGGCTAACACGGTGAAACCCCGTCTCTACTAAAAATACAAACAAATTAGCCGGGCGTGGTGACGGGTGCCTGTAGTCCCAGCTACTCGGGAGGCTGAGGCAGGAGAATGGCATGAACCTGGGAGGTGGAGCTTGCAGTGAGTCGATATCGTGCCACTGCACTCCAGCCTGGGCAACAGAGTGGGACTCTGTCTCAAAAAAAAAAAAAAAAAAAAAAGGAAAACCAGAAATTGCAGGTCAGCACAAAAGAGAAACTTTAAGACAGCTATAGATTCTTCACTTGGCAAAAATCACTTTCTTGTTTTTTGTTATATGATCTGAAGACTATAGCATTCTAAGTACCGTGTGAGCTACATCTAGGAATTTTCATTGACAGTGTTTTCATTATCATTCAATTTAAAACATGTTGTGGTTTCCATTTTGATTCCTTCTTTAATTGATGACGTGTCCAAAGTATTTTGCAATGTCCCAGATAATGGTGATTTTTGATGGGAATGTGTGTTTTTCTTTGTTATTTATTTTTATTTTATTTTTTGAGATGAAGTCTTGCTTTATTGCCCAGGCTGAAGTGCACTAGCGCAATCTCAGCTCACTGCAACCTCCACTTCCTGAGTACAAGTGATTCTCCTGCCTCAGCCTCCCGAGTAGCTGGGACTATAGGCACATGCTACCATACCCGGCTAATTTTTGTATTTTTAGTAGATGGGGTTTCACCAGGCTGGTCTCGAACTCCTGCCCTCAG